GGGATCGAATCCCACATCGGGCTCCCGGTGCATGGAGCCTGCTTCTCCCTCTGCCTGTGTCTCTGTGCCTCTCTCTCTCTCTCTCTCTCTCTCTCTGTGACTATCATAAATTAAAAAAAAGGGGGGGAGAAAGAGTTAATGCTCAGCCTACAACATTAAAAAATTTTTTTTTATTTTGCAAAAGATAAAACACTTGAAAGTCAAGCTTTATTAAGAAAAAAAGATTTTCTACTGTCCCTATCTTTCCCCCCTTTTGCATATCACAAAGCAGGTGGATGCAGATCATAAGTTTTTTTCCATAGAATAGAAAAGATATCTATTTCCACCTATTACCTAGGTCATGAATTTTTTCCTTCATTAGTTTTACTTGGAAATAATTGTGTATTTACAGAAGAGTATAGTATAGGGTTCTCATATATCCTACACCCACCTTCATATAATGTTAATGTTTTCTGGACAATGATACAATAATTGGAATTAAGAAATTAACATTGGTACAATACTCAGACTTTATTTGGATCTCCCCAGTTTTTCTACCAATTTTCTTTCTTTTCCAGGGTCTAGTCTAGGATACCATATTGAACCTGGTACATTAGTCTCCTTCTCTAAGCTATGATTGTTTCTTTCCTTGTCTTTCATGATCTTACAGTTTTGAAGAGGATTAGGGAGAAGTTTCGTACAAGGTCCCTCAATGAGATTTCATATTTTCTCATGATTAGACTAAATGTATAGGTTTTTTGAGGAAGAACATCAGATAATGTTAGGCCATGAATATTTACCCTTACTGTTTAAGGATAAGCTGTGGAGGAAATAAAAAGCCAGAAGATTGCTCCTTCTGGTCTGAAGAGACAGTAGGGAAAGATGGGAGACAGAAGTAAGGCAAGTAGATAAGATGACATCAGGGTTCTAGTAATCAGTATCTTTCCACATACACCTTTTAGGGGTGAATCTTCAGGGGAAGAGCAATTTTGTAACATCTAGGTAAGTAAAGGGTGACTGGAGGCCATTGGGTTAGAGGCTCACTCCCAATTTAGGCTCTAAGCAACAGTATGTTGGTAGATGTTTAACAACTGACCTTGGGGATGCAGAGATGAGGGAGAATGGAGCCCTGATTTGTAATGCTTGCTCATGTCCCTGGTGTAAATACTTCTACCATGGCTGATTTGAAGCCATCAACATGATATCACTGAACAGAGCTTAGGAAAGCTGTGTAGTAGTAAATTATTAAATGGTATTTCTACCACACACATTCACTAAACATAGGTTAATAGTCCAATGTAGTAAAATAAATAGGAGGTGATGGTTTTGAGTATTAATTACCTTTGCCTTCAATATAACTTGTTTAAATGTATGTTCTTATCAGTTAATTTTTAATAATGGCCATGTTGAACAACTGGAGTCCAAAATTCCTGAAAAACTAACAATTGGCGAGGTTATGAGCTCCACCAGCCCTCCACTGCTTCTAGGGGATTTTTTTTTAAAGATTTTATTTTTTTATTCATAGACACAGAGAGAGAGGGGCAGAAACACAGACAGAGGGAGAAGCAGGCTCCACGCAGGGAACCCGATGTGGGACTCGATCCCGGGTCTCCAGGATCACACCCCAGGCTGCAGGCGGCGCCAAACCGCTGCACCACCTGGGCTGCCCGCTTCTAGGGGGTTTTGACTGTTTGGCTCAGCACCACATCCCGTGGCGCTTAGAGGCAATTGTACAGAGGTGGCAGCAGGTGGATGGATGCATAGGACTTAGAAGGCATCCCTGCCAGGGCACCTGGGTAGCTCAGTTGGTTAAACGTCCTATTCTTGATTTGGGCTCAGGTCATGAGATCAAGCCTGGTGTGCGGTTCTGTGCTCAGCACAGAGTCGGTTTGAGATTCTCTCTCCTCTCCCTCTCCCTCTGCCCCTCCTCCTGCTCTCTCTCTCAAATAAATAAAATGGTTTAAAAAAGAAAAGAAAAGAAAAACGAAGGCATTCCTGCCTCCTAATGGCCTTTATGTGGGAAACAGGAGTCTCTGCATCTTCTTACTTTCCAGGAGATAACTGGTAGACTAGCAGCCATGGGGATGGAACTTAGCTACTACTGGAAATGTTCAGGGCTATGGCAGCACACATCATTCCTAAAGATCAGATGGGACCTCCTTGCATTTCAGTCATCCCCATTCCAGAGAAAAAAAATTAATCTGAGGAGCATTGAGTATCTAGAGGATGGTGTATGGTACAAAGGTGCCACAAGGATAAAATAATACACCCTAGCCGCCCCCACCCTGTATACCCAAATGCTATCTTGGCAAAGAGAAGAAAGAGGGGGGTAAAGAACCTGAGAAAGACTGGGTCATCTAAACAGCGTTATTCAAAATGTGGTCCGTGGGCCCGTGCCAGTCCACAAACTCTCACTGGTCTGAACTGAGATAAATACAAGTAACAGTTGGTATTTAGAAACTTTTATCACAACATTGCCAGGACATCCTAGTATGTGACCAGAGGATTTGTCTTGTTGAACAAGATACAGCCCAGTTCAGATGTGTTGAACTGGCAGTGCAAATTGCCCATAACGCAAGCCGCATACTGGTCATACACATGAGGACCATGTATTTGATCCAAGCTACAACAGAAAGATCAACCAATTTGAGAAGTATTAATCGAAGATTTTTGAAATCATCACCTTTGGACGGTAATAAAATGCTGAATAGCTTGAATCAGAGGTTGTAAAGTGTGTTCCCTGGACCAATAATATCAGCATCAACTGGTAACTCCTTAGAAATGCAAATTCTAAGTTTCTACCAGATGTACCGAGTCAGAAACCCTGGGGGTGGGCCCAGCAATCTGTGTTTTAACATGCCCTCTAGGTGATTCTGCTGCATGTTTGAGTTTAAGAACTCACTGGTTAGAATGTTTAAAGTCAAAGAATTATGCTCAAGCTGGAGGAAAATGAAACACTATTAATTAAGTGCAAATTATTCCTGCTAGAATGCAGAGCTGGAGCCCATGAAGATCAGACCAGGTAGAGAAAAAGAAAGAAAACTGAACTTGCTTTGCATATCTGAGTGATACGTAAGTGAGTGAGGCCAAGATGCTAAAGCTGAGTACTTTTAATGGGTGATCCTTTTTTTTTTTTTTTTTTTTTTTGGTGATCCTTTTTTTATCTTGCTCTGAAGGCTTACCCACAGTGCTATGACTCCACATTTTCAAGCATAATTCATTTCCCAGCCTACATTGTCGTGGTTGTTGTTGTTTACCAAAACAGGGTCGTGGTATAGGAACAGAAGAATATTTCTCTAGCTTTCCTCTCCACATAATTGCTGGATTTCTGGCTTTCCTACATTCCTACAACTGCTACTAGTAATAGCTCAGGAGGCCCTTCTTGGCTATTTTGTGTCATCTGTCCTTTTCCCTCGCTGCTTTCAAATCGTGGTACCCCTAGGACAGAATTTTCTCGGTGCTTCTGCTCCTTCTCAGGTGGGGTTGACGCAGTTTCAGCTTAGGATCTGGTCAACTTGGGCATTAGCTAGATGCTCCCCAGCAGTGCTACCACTGCTGCATTTTCTCACTGCGGGATGCCACCCAGGCTCACAGGACCTTGTAAGGCAGTCTTTCTCAACCTGTGTGCTTGCAAATCACCTGGGCCTCTTGCTGTTGAGCAGGTCTGATCCGGTAGGTTTAGGGTGGGCCTGAGGAGCTGCATTTCTAACAAGCTCCCAGGTGATACTGATGTTGCCAGTCCATAGACAATGTTTTGAGAAATAAGGTTTAGAGCAGTGATTTTTCTGCTTTCACAAGGATTTCTCCCCAGGTCTTCAACACAGCTGAGGGAGCATAGTTGTAGGGTGACCGACTGCCCTGGTTTGATGGGGATTGTCCTGAACATCCTGAGTCCTGGGCAAACCCAGGTGATTGGTCATCCCAGTGGTCATAAACCACTCGGAACAGCCCTTATCCTTCTCCTCCCTACTCTCTCCCCACCGGACACTTGTATCTTGAGCTTCCAGACTCTTTCTAGAGAAAGCTGCTTTCCCTTGAGGCTCTTCATTTCTCCTCCACATAATGCCCTCCCCTTTGACAGACCTGTCTCCACCAACCCTAAATACAGAGCTGCATTTTCAGCCAGCGTAGCTAGTTAGGCCAGGCATTAGGAAGAGTTGCCCATTTATCTTGGTATGGAAGGTTCCATTTCATGCATTCCCACAGCTGGTCAGGACTAAGAGGCCTCTCTAAGATCAATTAGGACCATATTTGACAGTTAACTCGTGTTTTCACAGAAACTTTCTCATCCTGCCTGGTCTCTGTAGACCAAGCAGGTCTCTCTGGCACCTGGGAGCAATGCCTGCTCTGTTTCACCTTTTAGCTGATAATGTGGATATTATCTGGAATCAGGAAAAATCAAAATCTTTCACTCTGGGGCTTGAAATACAATGTGTTTTCTAGTATTTCCAATGGTGCTTTTTTACACTGAAGCTATAAATTCTTTTAGGCAAAGCTTCATGCCTCATCATCCTAGAAATACAGCTCTGATTATATCCATCCCCAGCTAAAAACCTTCATTAGCACTGAATTTACAGCAGAAAAATTTCCAAACTCCGCATGTTAGTACAAGCAATGGTTCTCAAAAATTTACCAGAATGAACCAACCATTGGGTACCACTTGACCAAAACCAAGAGGTATTGGCAAAACAGATTGCTGGCCCTGCCCCTGAGTTTCAGATTCCGTGGGCCTTGGTTGGGACCCAGGAACTTGCTTTCCTTTTTTTTTTGGAACTTGCTTTCCTAATGACTTTTTAGGTGATACTGTTGCTGTTGGTATTCCACTGCATTCCACGCATCCACCCAGCTAGGGGTTACACTCCTAACACCCAGCTCTACCACATATTTAAAAAGACAACCCTTTATTCCTTGTTCGTATTATATGTTTTCCCACTTTGTGCTTTTGTTTTGTTTCATTCATTTATTTACTCACTTACCCTCTTAGTCTGCTCAGGCTACTGTAACAAAACACCACACCTAGATGGCTTAAACAAGACATTTATTGTTCACAGTTCTGATGGCTGGGAAGTCCAAGATCAAGGTACCAGTAGATTCAGTTCTTGGTGAGGGCCCTCTTCTTGGCTTTGCAGATGGCTGCATTCTCACTGTATGTATCATCACATGGTGGAGAGAGAAAATGCCAGTGTCTCCTCCTCTTCTTGTAAGAGCACTAATTCTATCATGGGGCTCCCTCCTCATGACCTCATATAAACAGAATTACCTCCCAAAGGCCCCACTTCCTAATACTACCACATTAGGGGGTGGGATTTCAACATATGAATTTGGGGGGGGGAAGCAAATGTTCAGTCCATAATAATCATGGATTCTTTCACTCTCAGTCAATGGTTCACTGTTTTATCAAAACATCCCCCATCTTTATTGACATATAATTGGCAAATAAAAATTGTAAATATTTAAGGTTTATAGTGTGATTTTTTTTGATACACTTCATCAAACAGTTTTTTAAAGACCAATGTAACTGATCCTGTCAAATCCTCTCATGGAGCTTATGGTACAAGGTAAGAGAGAAAAAATTTACCATTTTCATTCACACAGTGCTTCAGGGTTTCCAAAGAGAACTCACATGCAAGCTCCCCTTTGATCTTCTCCAGACCCCTGAAAGACCAATGGAACAGAGATTATTTTACACATTTCACAGATAAAGAAATTGATGTCCAGGAAGTAGTTCAACCAAGGTATTGCCAACCCACGTTTTTCCAGTCCCATGTTAGTATTTTTTTCCACCCAATCACACTACTTCGGTCTTGGTTCACTGTATCCCCTCTCTCCCTGCAGCGCAAATTGTATTTCTTCTTTAAAGCCTAATCTGTCACTACCTCCTCCATGAAGCTGTCTGTGATAACTCTAGTTAAAATAATTTCTCCTTCCAATAAATGAAGATAACACTTTTTAAAAATATAGAACTTCTCTTTCTAGATCCCAGTCTCCATGAGAATAGGATCAATACCTCACTCTCCTTTATGTCTCCCATAGCACTCAGGTCTTAGCTTATAGTATATGCCCATTGAAACTCTAAGAAATGAAAAAAGAATAAAGGTTGGAGATGAAAATTCCACCTACTTTCTGAGTCAATGGTTATATTCATTAGATAATCAATGAAGAATAATATATTTGAAGACAAAAGTAGAGTTCTGTGCTATCTCTATTCTCTATCTCCCTAAATAGGGGTAGGGAGTGAAGTGATTGCAGGGTGTCAGGTGTTTTGTGTTATGACATTTTGCCTTCATAACCTACCAGATAAATACTATTGCTCCTGTTTTCAAATGGAGATACGGAAGCCCCCAACTGTTTAACAATTCCCCCAAATTCAGACACTGGTGGCATGTTAGAGAGGGGACCATACCCAATTCTATTTAACCTCATGTGGCAATTATGAACACATGAAATCACCTCCAGTTTTACTATAACAATAATAAATTGTCCAGCACTTATCTACATAAGAAATGAATTCATTGTAGTAATAATCTTGAGGTCGTCTTTTAGTAACATAATCTCTCACCTTATTATTGCCTTGTCATTGATTCACCATTTGTTGAATCTTTTGATCCATTGCAAGAGGGGAAAGGAATTTCACTAATACCATGTGACCAGTCATCACTAATTGCGAAATGCTGGCCTGTCACTTAGACAGTGAATCTCTCTTAACAAGTGGTATTGTGTTATAACAGAACATGCCTATTAGGAAAGAGAGCAGTTAAGGTTTGTGGTAAATCCTGGAAGAAAGTGGGGATGGGGTAGATAAATCCAGAGATAGATCCAGTTCCATGAATAACCCCAAAAGGAACAATGACTTTAGCAACAACATAAAGCTAAGATATTAAAGCAATTTGTTAGACATTTACCATATCATAGAGCTGAGAATTCTTAGAGTTTAACCAAAGGACATTGCTAATGAACATCACAGGGCCTTGACATAGGCAGGTAGGAGACAGACAGCATTCAGGAAATAGATAACTCACCTAGGAGGGCTCATCCCGGGATTCTGCAGCCAAAGTCTTACAAGAGCAGAGACCTACAACATCCTGAAAACCAGATAGACACATCAAAGGTGATTGTTCTCACAAATGTATGAAATACCAATTTGCATCCTTTCCTCTTACAGGTACTGCAATATTTTACCTGGCAAGCACCTGTTAATTTTTAATTGGCAAGAGTTATTGTAAGATCTTATCATTTCATTAGCCATTAAGACAACTAACAGTAAATCTTGGCATCTAATAGACTTTTTTAAAAAAAAAACAATTTCAATGAAACTGTTTCAAGGAATGAAGAAATTCTATAAAAATCTTCCAAACTTTTTGGATCTGTCAGGTGGAAAAAAGTTTCAAAGCACATTTTCAGGCCCCCGGAGTGTTCAATTCAGAAAAATCAAGATACAACAAATGTCCCATTTCATAAACAACCTTCTATTATTATTCAGACTGTCAGATCAGGGAGCCAGAAAAAGTCATTCATCCAGAAAAGGATAAAAATTGGGGAAATAGATAAATATTTTCTCTAAATCACTGACGATTATGTTAATATAATATTGGCTTTGAGGGGCAGTTTCAATCACTCTGGTCCTCAGAGATAAGACACAAGCAGGGAAGCTGAACTTTTCTAAAATAAAAAACATCAGACATTTGATTATCACTGCTTCTTGGAAAGGGTTCAGAAGTGCTTCCTCAGCCAATGGATCTTGGTCCCTAGACATCTCTGCACTGGGGAATTCATAGTAAGGACAAGGATCTATATATAGAAACAAAACCTGTTGCTAATGTGCGTGCATATCAAAGGACTGGCAGGAGGGAATTGTCATTCTGTCTGGTCTAAAATAAGGTATCTTTGTAAAATAACAGTAACCATACTAGATCACGCTTACATATTTAACTTCCAAACACAGTTCTAAATACATTTTAAGCATATTTAATCTTCACAATCACACTATGAGATAATTACTATCATTATCCTCATTTTACAGGATAAGCTTGGAAACTTAGAAACAAAAGTTCAACAACCTGCCCAAGGTCACACACCTAGTAAGTAGTGACACAGGCAGTCTGGCCCCAGAGCCTGGGCTCTTACCCAATATACTCTACTGCATATATATATATATATATAGTGGTATTTTATATATGAAGCAATATATATATATGTATATAAATCACACATTAAAATTTTGAGAAAATGAAATATGGAAGAAGAGAAAAGGAAGATGTGCTACTAATTTCCATAATTATCATTAGCTTTGGGGATATTTGCTTTCAATCATATTTATATGCATTTTTTTATCTGTTGTAATTCTAGGATTTTGATTCTTTTCATATTATATCAGAAATATTTCCTATGCTATTAAAAGTGTTCATGATGTTTATTTTTAATACCTGCATAATATTACATAGACTAGATATATTACTCATTGGCAAGTCTCCAGTTGTTAGCTATTTAGGCTGCTTCCAACAGCCCAGGGCAAATTCAAGTGCAGGCTGTGGAGCCAGAGAGCCTGGTTCAAATGTTTGTTTCTACTCACTAGCTATGTAATCTTGAGCAAGCTACTTGACATCTCAATGTTTCAGTTTTCTTATCTGTAAAATGAGGATATTAGTTGGTAACTACCTCTACCTACTTGGGTTTTTGTGAGAATTAATTACAGTAATTGAAGTAATGCACTTAAACATTGTCTGCACAGGTATTAATATCATAAGTAAGTCTGTAGTGAACATCTTTATACATAAAATAATTACATTAAAAAATTATTTCCTAGACATAAGATTACTGAGTCAAAAGATATGAAACTTTTTTTGTTCTAATATCTAATTTACATTGCCAAAGCAGTTCCAAAAAGTGTTATATAGATTTATATGCCACCAGCTATGTAAGAAGAACCATTTTCCAGCATAGTTTGCTGACTTTGGGTGTTAACATTAAACCTTCTATTGCTTTGCCTTCCAGTTCATCAATCTGTTCTTCAGCTGTTGCTGTTTCTAATCTGCTCTTAAACCCATCCATTGAATTTTAAATTTGTCAGTTCATTTCTCAATTCCAGAATTTCCATTTGATTTTTATCCATAATTACCAATAATATGCTGGAATTCCCTGTCTTCTTGCCTAATTTTGTTAATTTATTAGTCACAGATATTTTAAAGTCTATTATCTGGTCTGTAGGTATGGCTGGTGATTTTATTGCCAGACATTGTGTATGAAAAATTGTAGAGATAATTTGAGCATCTGGGTGATCATGTCTTTGTCAAGTGGTATTTTACCTTAGCTTTTAACAGTTAGGGAAGTGAGATCTCTTATGGATTCTCTGCACTCTGGGTTCTCCACTTCTCAAGCCCTCTCTGTCTTGAGTCTCTGGGATGCTTTTAAACAAATATTTGCCAGATTTTATGCAGGTTTTCCACTTTCTCTCAGAGGATAAGTTGATCTAAATGAAAATAATCCATAACAGCTGGGGATGTAAATCCTTGACATTAATTTTAAAATAATTGATTAAACCTAAATACAGCTTATTTTTGTTTGAGTGTATATTCAATTGATTATTACTAAGGCTGAATGTTTTTGTTTGCAAATGTGTTATATTTCATCTTTTGTGAAATGTGATTTTAGTCTTATCTCATATGTTGACTAAATACGATTCTATTCTTATCTCATGTATTCTTAGCTGTGGAGTTTGTATGAGATACTGTTAATAATATGATTACTAACCCTTTTGTTAGGTTCAAATAATTGTATCTAGCCTACTGTTTGTTTTATTCCTGTCTTAATATAACCAAATCTATTTTATCTTTACTTTGCAATTTGTTACAGCATCCTAAGCCTATAAAACAAATTCCTTTAGGCTTTCTATAGTTTGAGTTTTGCTACTTTATTGTACGTGTACCATGAGTATATAAATTGATTTTTTTTCAGTTAATCAGTCCATATATTATAAAATATTTTCCCTTCCCATTGAGTTGTGTTCTGACATTATCATATATTTCATTATTATATAAGATATAATTTATTTTGACCACATATTTTGCCTTTTTATTTTAATACCAGTATCACATGGTTTTAATTATTATAACTTTATAATATTTTGCCTTTTTATTTTAATGCCAGTATCACATGGTTTTAATTATTATAACTTTATAATATATTTTAATATTTGATAAGATTAGTCTGTCCTCATTACTTTTCTTTCTCAGAACTGATTTCTACTATTCTTGCCTACTTTCTTTTTCCAGATTTATGTCAAAATCACATTCCTCTCACCATTACCTCAAAATGTGAAAAACAAAAGACACATTATTAGTAGAATTCCCATTAAGTCTATACTTTGGAAAGAATTAACCATTTTAAAGTGTTATTTTTTAAGCCAGAAACCAATATTTTGATTAATTTAATATTTTTATAGCTCTCAAAAAGTTTTATTTACATAGGTAACATTTCTTTTTTTTTTTTAAGGTAACATATTTCTTTTACGGTCAGAGTTTTATATATTTTGTTGCTTTGTAAAATAAATCTCTCTTAGAGGTTTACATTTAAGCTAATGGTTGCTAATATTTATAAATATTACTGATTTATGTTAATAGTCACATGTCTGTAATATTTTATTAATTTATTAAGTCTATTCTTATTTTTGTTCACTTCTTTGGGTTTTCAAGCTATAAAAATATTTTTCCAGTCACAATAATAGTGTCTAATTTTTTTATTCTTTATAGGTCTTTTTTCTTTATTATTTTTTTAAAGATTTTATTTATTTATTTGAGAGAGAGAGAGAGAGAAAGAGAGAGAGAGCAAGGATACAACTGGGGTGAGAAGGAGTAGAGGGAGAGGGAGAAGCAGATTCCCTGCTGAGAAGGGAATCCCTCTCAGGGCTCTATCCTAGGACACCAGGACTATGACCTGAGCTGAAGGCAGATACTTAACTGATTGGGCCACCTGGGTGTCCTGAGGTCCTGTTTCTTTAGTATGTTTTATTATGCTGATAAGGGCTTTAAAAATAATGTTTAATAACATTATTATGACAGAACCATTATACCAACTTCTACCCCACCCCTGTTTTTAAACATATATATTTCTAGTATTTTTACATTATTTTAATATTGACTATTAGTTAAAAATATTTGTTATTATGCTAAAAAATAGTTTATTTTTTCTTTTTATCATTTTATCAGGAATAAGTATTAAATTTTATCCAATGCTTTACAAAACAATCTATGAAAATAACCATTTATTTCCTATTTAAGAATATGAAATGTTCATTAGTTTAGTTTCTAACTTTAAGTTTTGCACTGTTTGGGAATACATTATTTTCATTTTTTTGCTACAATGAGCTCTATTGCATTTTTAAAAAGCATGTTAAATTATTTTAGATTTATGCTTATTTAATGCATTATTTTTCAGTGCCATTATTCCTTTATATTACATTAATAATAGTTATAAAAAAACCCTTTTTGTCTTATTTACTTTTTTTGAAAAAAATTCTGTTCGTGACCATGTTAGGCTGCAAAATCTTTGCCCTTTAAATAAGTATTTCCATGTCATTTTTCTTTAAGTATGACTCTTAAGCACCACCAAATCATAATACTTTCATTTTAATTTAATGTGAAGATCTTTCCATTTGAATAGAAAAATTTAAGACATTTATACTTGTCATAATTTCTTAAGCTTGATTGCACTTATTTCATACTTTCTTCTTTTCAATAATTCCTTATTGTTTCCTTTCCATTTTGTCTTTTGAACTGTTTTGTTTATTTTATCTCCTACAATTATTTATAAAATATTCTTCTTCCATTCAACTAGTATCTATATTAAATTATTCACAACTATCCTCAAATGCATTTTTATCCAATGATTTAAAAATAAAGCAACAGCAGTGCCTGGGTGGCTCAGTCAGTTAGGCATCAGACTCCTGATTTCAGCTCAAGTCATGATCTCATGGGTTATAAAACTGAGCCCCATGTTGCACTTTCCTGGTCACTGAGGATTCTGCTTGAGATTCTATCCCTCTGCTCACCCTCCCCTTCTCCTTCCCTACCCCTAGTTCATGCATGCA